AACCATCTCTATTGCTACATATATTTTTGTAAATTTATTTTTTTTGTCACGCTTAATAGGTGTTCAAAGAGGAATTTTAGTTATAAATAAATAGATATATCTTGTAATAAGTAAATCTTACCGTGAACCAAAATTAGAGAATTTTGCTCATTGTCTCACGAAATTTCCTAAATTATGTGCCCGCCAAGAAGTGGAATGATCTAGTTTAAGATAATTATAAGCTGCTTGCGATGCTCTAGTATTCATTGTAGGTTTTTAAAAAAGGATGCCAAACAAAATCACAGATGTAAAGTGCTATACACAATAGTGTAATTTGGAAATTTATAAGGTCTTTGATATAAAAAGGTGAGTAATAATATGGGGGTATTTGCTCAAATACTTTTAATTTTCAGTGGAGCATAGGATAGAATATACTAAGATGAAAATGAAAAAAGTTCCAAGAGTCCGATGTCACGAGCAGGTGGCATTGGGACTTTGGAGCTGTGAGCTGCACAACCCTCTTTCTCTCCCCCCCCCCCCTCTCTCTCTCTCTCTCATTTTCTCCGGTTTCCTTGTTACTGAGGAGGCTTCTCTAGTTCTCTCTAACTCTCCCTTGTTCTCTAGCTGCTGGTCTGCAATGGACGAGCTAGGCCAGACAGAAGGTTGGGGTGGAAGCTGAGGAAGAGTTTACTCATCTTTCCCTCATTGTGCTCCTGCAGTCCCTCTACGCCTGAGCGCTTCTTGTCCTGTTAATTGCTGTGCAGGTGAGCCGGCAACATCGATGATGCAGCAGCGACGATAGCCCAACAGTGGGGACTGGTCCTCTTTTTCTTTTTACTAAACTTATCTAGATTCTTCTTTGCCCCAAGTTTTTTTTCTTACCATTTATCTTATCCTATGGCTACGATACTTTCTCCCTATATTGTCGTCGTTTGAATCAGACGGTCATTATTTTGTTGCTTGCGTGGCTCATCCTCGTTTCATATTGAGATTTACCATTCATTTGTTAAGATTATTCTAGGACGCCACAATATACAAACTTGTATAAAAAGTCATCGAAAGTTGTCATGTTTATCAATTTATGCGTGATCGAAATCCTGGATGATCATGAGTGAATACGTGGTACACCGAGCTCAAACCAGGTGCCCCTACAGTTTCACGTACAAGAAGCGAATTCCAGCTAAAATTTCACTATGTTTCATATTTTAAGTTATTTTATTGCTAGGGATAATGTTGCACATTGTATTATTCAGATGTTTCAATCAATATTTTGTGGTGTCTCACTAATTTATCTATAAATGTTGCATGTGGTATTTTACGAATGTTTTAGTAAATAATTTTTAATGTTTCAATAGTTATAACTCGATGTTTCATATGTAATATAAAAATGTTTCAATTAGGAAAAAAATATTCATGCAATTTTTTTATTATAAATATAATCATGTGCGATGTTGTTATAAAGATTTAATTGAAAAAATATAATGACATAATCAAATAAAAGATAAGATAAATAATTTAGAAGAAAAAATAATTTAAAGTTTTGCTAATTGCCCCCTCCATCATTTTAATATGAAGTATGAACTAAAAATGAGTGATTAGATAGAAGAGAGAGGTTGTGCAAGGCTGAGCATGCAAACTCGTGCATGCTTAAGGAGGGAGGGAGACCTGGAGCTGCATGCTAGGTAACAGAAAGGAGGGACCAAAGCTAATCGCAGTATAAGAAAAATTGGTCTTTCAATTTCTAGTTTCATCTAAATAATTAGAGCATCATATCCGAAAACGGCGCTTAGCCTAACAAAACTAATACTCGCCATGCGTCCATCCCCGAGCCCGTTTCACGCTCGCGTGGTTCCGCGATCCCGAAGGCGCTCCATCCATGGCTTTCCCGTCTCCGCCCATAAATACCACCCACCATAGCACCGAGCTACATCATTCACAAATAACTAACACCCATCAGCAACAATGGCATCCTCTTGTCTCCTTCTGGCCTGTGTCGTGGCAGCGGCCATGGTGTCTGCAGTGTCATGTGGGCCGCCCAAGGTGCCGCCTGGCCCCAACATCACTGCGGCCTACGGCAAACAGTGGCTGGAAGCTAGGGGTACCTGGTACGGCAAGCCAAAGGGTGCCGGCCCCGACGACAACGGCGGCGCTTGTGGGTACAAGGACATTGACAAGGCTCCCTTCCTCGGCATGAACTCATGTGGCAATGACCCTATCTTCAAGGATGGCAAGGGCTGCGGCTCCTGCTTTGAGGTCAAGTGTTCCAAGCCAGAGGCCTGCTCCGACAAGCCCGTCATCATCCACATCACCGACATGAACACTGAGCCTATCGCCGCCTACCACTTCGACCTCTCCGGCCATGCTTTTGGTGCCATGGCTAAGGAAGGCAAGGATGAGGAACTCCGCAAGGCGGGAATTATCGATATGCAGTTTCGTCGCGTCCGCTGCAAGTACCCTGGTGAGACTAAGGTCACCTTCCACGTTGAGAAGGGCTCCAACCCCAACTACTTTGCAGTGCTTGTCAAGTACGTCGGTGGTGACGGTGATGTCGTGAAGGTGGAACTTAAGGAGAAAGGCTCTGAGGAGTGGAAGCCACTCAACGAGTCATGGGGTGCTATCTGGAGGATAGACACTCCCAAGCCACTCAAGGGCCCCTTCTCCCTCCGTGTCACCACCGAGTCTGACCAGAAGCTTGTCGCCAACGACGTCATCCCCGATAATTGGAAGGCCAACGCTCTCTACAAATCAGAGATCCAAGTCGACTAAGCCTGCATGGAATTCTTCCGTTGTCTAGCTACCTATGCACACAGGGGACGGAAAAAAATGTATTTTAAATTTAAAAAATAGAGCTAGGTTTGTGGAGTGAGCAGAAAGTCTATCGGTCTATGGTGTCTGCTCTCCTACCTGGGCCCATGATCGAGTCTTCAATTCTCGATCAGAAAATTTTGATATTAAATTATTTGACGCTTTCAATTCTAAGGGATTGTCAACGTGAAATTCAATTCCTTAAAAATAATAGGGAGTATCTAAAAAACTGTTACAAGTTTTTTTAGTGAAACTACACTACAACTGCACTGTAACAACACTGTAACTACACTATAACTATGATATAACTTATATAAAACTTGTATTCAATTATGGTTTGGTTGTCTAGTACCGAGATCTTACGTGTGACCTATGTGAAAATTCTGTTTCAGCATTTTTTTTCCTTTATGCACAAATCTTAATACAATCCGATGGCCACAAATCTTAAAGTTTTAGAGGCAAAAAAAAAAAACGGGCGGAAGTTTTCAAGCAATCCAAAAAAAAATCCTCAATCAACTAATGGCCTATCAGAGCGCCACTTTTTTGCCTACTATTGTTGGGTCCACTAAGGCATATTAGAGCGTCAAGGTCGATCGGTCCACAAACGACCATCAAAGTGACACGTTTGGCCTAATAAAGGGTCTTCTGAAGGACAATTAAATTAGTCGACTAATGTCCCATCAAATGAGGATCTACAAGAACCGCATCCTACCCAGTGGGTGCCCGACCGCATCACAACAAACCACAGATTTTGCGGCCACCAGTCATACCAACCTCCGCGTCACGGAGGATCAGTGTTGGGAAGCTAGGGATCAGGGAACCACACTATACTCCCTCTAAGTCCCTGTTTCTAAAAAAATCAATATATGAGAAAATGTGATACAATCTAGTATTATTACTTTATCCAGATTAGTTATACTAGATTGTGTCTAGATTCGTTACATTAGATTGTATCACATCTACTCCTAAGTAGCCTTTTTTTAATGAAATGAGTATGCTGGTGGTTGTGAGGTAGCCTACTATGGCTAGTGTGACTAGCCAGCTAAATGTTCGCTTACGATGCCCCTAGAAGAGAACCACACATTCTATCCATTTTCGCTAGTGAAATTAGGACAATTGTGATATGTACAAATTTACTTGTAAAGATACTTACTGTATTTTTTAACCAAACCATATTTCTATCGTATTGTAGCATTTTAAATGAAATATATCTCCCTACATTTACTCCAAACTTTCTATAGTGCTCTAAATATTTTTGGCAATTTATACACAAACAAATATCTACCAAAGCTATACAACTTTCTACTCATAGACTTTATGATGGGATAAAAGCTTTATACCTGGAAATTTCATGGTGGAATAACAACTTTATACTAGGACACCTTATGATGGAATAAAAACTTTATACCCGGAAACTTTATGCTACGAAGCATTTTATCATAAATTATAATTTGTACAAAAATAAATATTTAAGTTACTAGTATGCTACTTTTGGGTCATAAAATTGGTAAGAAAATAAATGGAAGTAATAATGAGTAAGGAAAGCATAAAAAACATAATGGTCCATCAACCCACTCAGGCTCAACCCTTCAACATGCTGTCAAGAGGAAAATGGAACTCTGGCACGTCACATTCGCAAACTAGACTTTTTGAAGGAAGACACGGGGAGAGGAACGAGATTGAAACTAGTTAAAAGGAGAGAAAATTATGATTTTGCTATTGTAAAAGGATGGTTTCGATGAAATACTATCCCTTCAAAGTGGTTCATTAAAATGCTATCCTAAACTAAAGGGTGTTCACTAAAATACTATTTTGGGTCTTTTGGGTTAATACTAATGTTTTTGCTCTATTTCCAATTTGTGTTATGACCAAACTACCCCTACCTCTGTCTGCTGCCTTTTCCCTCCTTCTCTGTATTGCAGCCGTGCCATTCTCTGTATTGCACCCGTGTGAGTAGGGAGTGGAGGGCGGGAGGACGGACTACGGCGCAGGAGAGGGAGCGGCGGGGGTCCGGCGTCGGAGAAGGACCCGATGCGGCGCTGACTGAGGGCGGCGGCGGCGGACGCAAATGGAGGCGGCGGCGCGAGTGGACTGGAGAGGAGGGAGGGGAGGAGCAGGAGTGGGAGCGGCGGGGGCCGGCGCCGGCGCCGGACCCGGACCGATGCGGCGCGCTGAGTGGAGGGCGGCGGCGGCGGACGCGAATGGAGGCCGCGGCGCCACTGGACTGGGGAGGAGGAAGGGGAGGAGCAGGTGGGGAGTGCCGGAGGCCGGCGCCGGCGCCGGGGCCGGACCCGATGCCGGATGCGCGACGGTGTCGCCGCTGCTCCTCAGTCCTCAGTCAACGCAATGCGCCGAAGCCGACTGGATTCGATCGATTCGATCTGATTAACCTAAGGCAAGGGTAGTTTGGTCACAACACAAATTGGAAATAGAGCAAAAACATTAGTATTAACCCAAAAGACCTAAAATAGCATTTTAGTGAACACCCCTTAGTTTAGGATAGCATTTTAATTAACCTTTCAGCGAAACTATCCTTTTACGATAGCAAAATCACAAGGACCATGCCAGAATATAGTCCAATTGGAGTCCTGATTAGAAATAGTTAAAAGGACTGAAGACGGAGAAGAAAGGGGATCTAGTGGAGGAAAAGAGGGGCTGCTCTTTTTCACTCACTGACAGAGGGAGAGGATAAGGTCGAGCCTCCGCATTGGAGAGCAATATATACTCCCTAGGTCTAAGCAGTTGTGTCCAATAGGCTTGGCTATTAGCCCAAAATTAACGTTGCCAGTGCACTGGTCCATTGCATTCCCGGTCCGATATGATGGCCATACAAAACATTCACAAATCAGCGTAAATAAATAGCGCAGTGCAATTTGACGTGAAGAAAAGGATACACAACATGGTTACTGCTTCTCATGATAATCTCACGCAAAATCAGAGAATGAATTTAGCAGAAAATATTGTGGGCAAAAACAAATGACCCCATTGTCACAGGGCCAGTTCGATGGGAGAGCAGACGCCATTATAGTGCTGGCGTGTATATGCTCCACAATCCTAGCTCAGAAATTTATAGATTATTTCGTTTAAAAAATATTTCTCTGGATATATATGTGCATGCATGCAAGCATGCAGCAACACATATATAGTATATAATATATATATAATATATATATATATATATATATATAGGCAGCCGCGCCGGATCGTACGTACGCTGGTTTCTTCCTTGCTTAAAATGCTCACTTGGCCTGGACGTTGGACTTGTACACGCTGTCGGCCTTCCAGCCATCAGGGATGGCGTCCTCGGCGATGATCTTCTCGCCACCCTCGGTGGTGACGCGGACGGAGAAGGGGCCCTTGAGCGGCTTGGGGGTGTCTATCCTCCAAATGGCACCCCATGACTCCTTGAGCGCCTTCCACTCCTCGGAGCCCTTCTCCTTGATTTCCACCTCCACGACGTCACCATCACCAGCGACGTACTTGACTAGCAGCGCAAGGTAGTTGGGGTTGGAGGCCTTCTCGATGTGGAAGGTGATCTTGGTGTCGGCAGGATACTTGCACTTGACGCGGCGGAACTGCGTGTCGATGATGCCGGCCTTACGGAGCTCTTCGTCCTTGCCATCCTTAGCCATGGCGCCGAAGGCAAGGCCGGAGAGGTCAAAGTGGTAGGCAGCGATGGGCTCGTCGTTCATGTCGGTGACGTGGATAAGGGCGGGCTTGTCGGAGCAGGCCTCCGGCTTGGAGCACTTGATCTCGAAGCATGAGCCGCAGCCCTTGCCGTCCTTGAAGATGGGGTCGTTGCCGCAGGAGTTCATGCCGAGGAAGGGAGCCTTGTCGACATCCTTGTACCCGCAGGCGCCGCCGTTGTCCTTGGGGCCAGCACCCTTGGGCGCACCATACCAGGTGGCCTTGGCTTCCAGCCACTTGTCGCCGTAGCTTGTCGTGATGTTGGGGCCCGGTGGCACCTTGGGTGGCCCGCAGGAGACGGCGGACACCATAGCCGCCACCACAACACAGGCGAGTAGAAGGGAGGAGGATGCCATTGCTGCAATATAATGTTATTGCTGGTGGATGATACAGCTGAACGCCAATGCGGGTGGTATTTATGGGCGGAGGCAAGAGAGCTATGGACGGAGCACCGCCGGGATCGCGGGACAAAGGAAGGCGTCGGGGGATCGATGGACGCATGGCGGCCGCTACCTACTTTGTCGGGCTGACCGCTACTAGTTTCGGATGGTGGGCCTGGGCTTCATCCCAAACTTCTTCTTTTCTAGTAGTAACTTTCTCAATTAACCACACTGAACCTGGAATTATTATTAATTAATGGTTTAATCACGACAAACATTAACTCTCACTCTTTCTGCAGCAGATGATCCAGATATATATAGTGTAGGTACATGCATGTCTTCTCAGTAAAAAATCGTATATTGTTCATCCCTATTTACTGTACATTTAATCGCAATATATACTAGCATCACATTTGTATTATTATAGAGTATATATATCTCAAGCACATGTAAACAACGCCAGCCCAAAATTAAAGGAAGGAAACGTATCCTTTGCCGTAGCATTTATCGGTAGTAGATTATACGTACACGTACTAACTCCGTCCCCAATATAAGTACATTTGCGAGTTTCCGTGTACAACGTTTGACCATCCATTTTATTTGAAAAAAAATTATGATTAGTATTTTTGTTGTTTTTAGATGATAAAACATGAATAAAACTTTTAGTGTGATTTTTTTTATTTTTTTATAATTTTTTTAAATAAGACGGACGGTCAAATGTTGAACACAGAAAATCACAATTGCATTTATATTGGGACGGAGGTAGTACTATTTGCATCCAATAGACTTGCATTAATTGTGATGTATCCTTACTAACAGTACCTCTATGACATCGCCATAAAATAATGCGATAATTCAATAAATACCATTGACAAGCGTTTAAATCCAAGAAATGATATCAACAAGCGTTAATTCCAAGAATTACCATCATACAAACGATTTTGTCTCAAAAATGCCATCGCGGTTAGGATTCCTTCTACCCCCACGCTGTTAAGTACACTGTTCATCATATATAGTATTTAATGGCGCGGGATAGAAAGAACTCTAACGGCGATAGCATTTTTAGGACAAAACCGTTTCTACGATGGCAATTTTTGAATTTAGACGCTTGTCAATGGATTTCTTGTATTATCTCTAAAATAATTATACAAATTTGACTAGAGTAGTGTCCGGTTATTCAAACCAAATCCAAACATATTATATTGTAACTTTTTTAACCGCATTAGTCCATTAAACATTTGTCATCAATTAGCTAAAACCCATTAAGCGTCCTAGATACACTTCCATGATGGATCTTGGACCTAGTCAACTAGTACAATATTTATATTGGAACAAGGAGGTTTGCAAACAAGGCTTTACTCTGTGTTCTTATTTTTTAAAAAATTTTCTATATAAAAGTTGCTTTAAAAATCATATTAATCTATTTTTTAAATTTTTTAGCTAATACTTAATTAATGTAATGCTAATCCTTGCTTTGTTTTTCTTGTTAGGAGGCAAGCAGGTTCCCAACGTAGATAAGATAGAAAATAAGATATGGCTTTCACACTAGGGCCCTGTCTGATTCTTCTACAAGCAGTGGATAAAATTTTAGATACTTGTGACACGCAGGTGAATTTTAGATACAAGTTAGATATCTAGGTGGTGTTTAAATTTACTGAAGATGAAGATGAAGATAAAGATCTAAGTATTTCACGCAAAACGAGGTGGTAATAATGTGTGATTAATTAAGTTTTAATTATTACAAACTTGAAAAATGGATTAATCTCATATTTTAGAACAACTTTCATAGAGAAAGTTTTCGAACGAAACACACCGTTTAATAGTTTGAAAAGCGTGCCACTTTTATCTAGAAGTTTATCCGGTTTTCGTTGGAGAAAAGAATAGTGCCTATATATCCAAACGTAGACACCTGCCACACAAGCATGAGGTGATTACTTCTATTATACGCTATGTTCCCATTTATCACATAATTTGCTAATATCATAAAAGTTCTACGAATTTAATACTATTTTTTTTCTTTTACTGCATCGTACTGTGAAATTAACATTTTGTTCCCATATATTTTCCCTTTGTTGTATTCTTGTATCCTCACTCTTCTCCATCTTAAATAACAGTAATGCTAACTCCAGTTAATGCTTGTTCCCATGCTTCGACAACAAGCTCGTGTGCTCGAGCTCTCTAGTCATCTACCGTAACATGTATTTTGTTTAACATATGAGTCTATCTATTTTGTTTTTGTTAATAATAACTATTTTAACCCATGCTTGATGTATCCATGTTGCTTAACTAGTTTGTTAGAAGTTGATACAAATTTGATTTCTAAAATTATCCGAGAATACTCGATAGTAATTATACATATAGATAATATTCAGTTATATAAATAATCCAACAAATATCTATGATTTTATGGAAAAACTAAAAGGCAACGTTTGGAATGAATATAATGTTCATAATGCACTGTAAACTTATCAACGTGTTCAAATACATATATCTTAGAGCAAATTTCATAAAACTATCAAATTATCATAAAACTATGAATTTAATACTATTTTTGGAGTAGATATGCTATTCTCCCTTCAGCGGCCGTAGACGTCGGACCCTACCAGGGGCGGAGCCACGTGTGGGGTAGCTTGGGCTTGGGCCCCACACGTGGCAAAAATTTTCAAGGGAGAAACACTGGAATATTGAAATTTACGTAGAATTTGCAAAAAAAAAATTGATAGCTATATGGTTCAGCCCTAGTCTTGCTAAAATGCTGCCTCCGCCTACTATTGCGTCGATGAGCCGGACGAGGAAGATGGACGCCCACATCTTGTTCGAACTACACAAGAAAGAAAGAGGGAAAAAAAAGGAACAATAACGAGATGAACCTGAATATGGGACCCTTTGCCGGCTGCCAGAGACGAAAGGAAAGGGAAAGGAGGTCACAACTCACACGAGAGATTGATTTGGCCTTTGGGTTTGGGGTCGCCTCTCAGGATGGTTGGAGAGGCCCCCGAAAGATTGCGACTCAAAGTCCATTCCCTCGAGTGAGATGAATTTTCGCGCAAAGTAAGCTGGATGGAAGTTATTGGTGGTTGCATCAACTGAAATCTCACCTCATTGCTAGACATGAATGCTCCCTTTGCTCTGGTCTGGTCCATCAACAAGTACGTTAACGTACGTACCTTTGGCATGCCTGCCTTCACCCATTGAATGCTTCATCTTTGTAAATACCCTACTCCATCTCCATCTCCATGTTGAGCTTGAGAAGATGCTACTTCTTGGCCCAGCGGCCAGAATCTTTTCGGCCCTGTCCTTGACGTTGATGGCAGGTACTAGCTAGGTTAGGTAATCCTCCTATCCCTCGCACGTGACGTGATGGCCTCCATCTTCACAAGAGGAGCGAATCGCATATAAGCTCAGTTTACATCAGACATACAATTGATCAACGGAATTTCTTTCACAACAGCTCATATCATCATCTGTTACAGTCAGTTGCAACTATCATCAACACACTCGCTCTATTCAGGAAAATTGGCAACACAGCAAAGAAAAAACCCGAGTCAACAGACCTCCAACGCTCCAATGAAATAACAAACTTACTTCACTGTTCCTTGATCTATACCTCATCATCCCCCCCCCCCCCCCCCTTCACCGAAAATGGCCAAGGCAAACAAATCTACATCGTCTGCAAGCTGGGCGCCGAGGCTTTTTCGGCGAGCACTTACTCAAGTAAACAGGTGGCCCTGTTCGGTGGTCTCTAGCTCTCTTCCAAGCTGCATGTGCACAAATTTCCTGTGCTTCTGCTTGTTGATCCTGGCGCTTAACCTTCTCACCTGTGATTGAACCCTGCATAAATGCAAGTACGATTAAACAAGATAAGTATGGCTAAACAAGAGTGCTTACGCCCAAAAAAAAAAAAAACTGCGCAGAACCGCTATCGTGCATCTTTGATGCTTGCCTAAAGACATAAGATCATATTCTTTGACACTTGGACTGGGGAATACAAAATTTCTTCAAAATATAGAAGTAATTACCAGAAAATCTTTGCAGAGAACCATTGCCACCAATCATATGTGACTCAATCCTTCTTTCTTGGCCTAAATGCATTCTTTCAGGCCAAACAGAATTCAACCTCCTTGCGAAGTCCTCCACTTCTCTGCATGTTAAAAGTAAAACTTGTCAGGTATGTCAGTAGTAAATGATGTTGAATACTCTCTGCAACTTTCTCAACAGGCTTAGGAGAGCAATGAACTTGACCAGATGCAACTGCGATTATTAAGCAAAACTTCTATGAACTTGACCAGAAGCAACTGAATTATATCATGCTGTTTTTCAGCTGTGAATTTTGAACTAACCAACTTATATATCAGCACAAATACTAAGAAGAATTGTTTTTAGGGGCAAAACATGTAATTTGCTAAAGCATAATAGCATATGCAAAATAGGGCGCTATAGAGTTTTGATGCATTGGAAAGAAAAGAACGGCGCAGAAAAAACAGAACTGAATGCTTGAGATGTCATATCCTCACCTGTCAAGCTCTTCCTGCATTGCAGGATCAAGTCCATCATCAAGGTCAGCATCTTCAAAGGGGTACTCAACATCATCTTGCACATCTGAGCTTTGGCAAGGTGTTCTAGAAATATTACCAGTACCCGCATTGAATGGAACTCCACGAGTAGCTTCCTCCTATAAGTCAACAGATAAGTAAGAACTTGACTGTTCTCCACACAACTACTCAACAAAAAACAGTGAGGACACCTAACCTTGTTTACAGGTTCAGGATTAGCTTTTGGGGGGTTCTTAGAATGGTCCTTTCTTCTCTTGTTCTTTTTCTTATTCTTAGAAGCTTTCCCACCTCCAGAACCTATAAAATGGATAAACCTTTATATGAAATTGCTAAGTTTTTTCTATATAGAAATACTCTTTGAGCAAGCTCTTTGGTTGCATGTTTGCATCTTTGCCTAAATATTGTAACCAGATTAGTTAAAATCGACTATAGAATTTGACCCTGGATGACAACTTAGTAGTTTACTGATTGCTCAGCGTTATTCAGCAGAACAGGATAATCATGGTTGAATGAGACAAGGGAAACAACGAAGTTATATAGTCAATATAACTCACTGTAATTATACCTCCATCCCCATTTATAAAACATAGTATCTCATCCAGTGACCGCTCATCTTTTTGCTCTTCTTGTACTTGAACATCCTGAAACAAAATTAGCATAAGATTCTTAATACATGACATTCAAACATGAACTACACTGCTGAATGGACAGGATAAATATCATTTCACATGGCCTACAGGCCTAATATCAGAAAGCATACTCTGATGATAATACAACAGTTTGGATTTTATCATATTTACCTTCAGTTTCTGGCGCTCCTGTAGTTCTTTCCGCTTCTTTGCATATAATCGATTCAACAAACGGATCCTGGGATCATCATTTATATTTTTCAGGGGTTCCAATTTCTCTTCCTGAATGAATGCAAGTTCCACAGTAAGCATCAATACATGCTGATAACTATAAGCAGACATGCGATTTGTACCTCTGTTAAGTCATCTGGCAAATGGAAAATATCACGAATTTCCTCAGGTGTCTTTCCTTCAATTATTCGAGCAAGTGCTCGACTGGTAAGATCAACCAATGGCTTTAATTGGAGACTATCAGCCGCCGATGTCAGCTCACATAGTCTTTCTGTATCTATTCTGACAAACTTTTCATCAAATGATTTTCGCTCCTGCACAATAAATGTGACCATGATATGATAACTGGAGAAATGTAAATTCATCAAATGATTATTTCCTCTTATAACATAAAGTAAATGCCTAAGTGGCTAAAAGAATTAGCATCCTCTCCAGAAAGTTTCCCGAAGTTCATAAGCTGAATCATGCCATGATCCTTATCGATAAAAATAGGAGTATTAAAAGAAGCAGAATTACCCTTGAGACTATTACTTGTAACAAAACAACTACGGGAATAACATGGCTGTTACAGGAAGCAAAATTACATAATGGTCTATACTTGCAACAGGTGGACGCCTGAAACAAGCAGAAGAGAGAAAGCAGTAAAAAGGGAGTTGCCAGAAGACAAAACTTAAATCACGACATACCTTGTTTGAGCGCCCTGGGACTTGATGAAACCGACAATAGTCAAGAATCAAACTCAAACTTGTAGGGTTAACTCTTTCTGGGAGAGCAATTGCATGATTTTTTGATGATCCTGTTCCATTTTTTACTATCTCTCGACATATCATAGGGCAAAACATGGCAACCTCCTCCTCCACTTGTTGTATGGAACCATCAAAGCACTGAAGCCAAATATAACTCTTCAACGCCTGTGAGTTCACAATGAAATTAAATTGGAACCAAATGAATAGCTGATAAGGCTGGAGAACAATTGTTTCCCCTCCAATAAACAGAAAAAATAGTTATGATCTAGAAATGCATAGGGGTCATACCTCTGGCTTTATTACTGCCAACTCACTTTCTGACATTATTGCCAATTCCAGAGAAACAACAAAGCCGCCAATACAATACACCAGAAAATTTACAAGAAACTCCTTTCGGGGTATAACACCTGCCAGTACTCCAATGGCCGGAAATTATGTCGACAAACTTTTATCCTGTACAACAAATCACAGTACCCTGTTTTTGGTCTTCAATTGGATAGTGACCTTATTTCTCTTTTGATTCAACAATGGTCTTTATTTATGACTAATGGAATGAATGATCTTGTTTAGCCTACAGTACAGAGAGAAACCCGAGATGCATAAGTTATGGCATTTTGGAGTACACAGGGGGTAAATAGTCACATAGAAATGCAATATGACACATGAAGCAAAACTTTTTTTTAAAAAAAAAAAGAAGAAAGATAGAGCATCCAGCTTCAAATAGAGAAATAAAATATGCAGCCTTTCTACAGTTGTACTCTCAAGGTAGTAGCAACTAAATGGCATCACCAAATGACATAAAGCTCACTATTGCCCTTTCAAAAGTACCGATAGGTTCCTAGGTTAATTCTGGTTACACTACATAGACACCTCGACCCAATAGGTACAAACAGATTCACGCTGGGTACCATTTGGCGGTATGACTAACTGATCCATATTTGAGGTCCACAGGTTGAGTTCATTGAAAGAATTAATCCTCATAAATGCAGAGGAGAAGGCACTAGTCTATGCACTTAATCCTGGTACCGAACATGCATGGGCATCCAGCAACCAAATATGAAATCAGATATGCATGTGTAATCAAAGCAATGAAATGGAAACTAGGTAATCAAAGATACAGCAATTTGCATCCGGCGACACGTTCCCCCTGTCTAATCGGCAAAAAATGGCCTCCATTTGGTCCTCGTAAAACACATAGCTATACAACCTAACAAGGCCGCGGCTACGGCAAGAAACTTATCCATTCCCCGGCAAGAGACAAGGTAAGAAAGACGTGAATCGCAACCACCGGAGCAGCGAAATGGGGTTAAACCCTAAACGAGGATTGGCGCCGCGGAGGGAGGCAAACGGAAGGCGTGTCGCAAAAGCAAGCAATCCACGAAGCCCACTCGACGGCGACGGTGTCGGCTGTCGCCCCGGCCAAAACCCTAACCCGGGAACCGACCCTACGCACGAACGCAAACGAAGGAAAGGATTGGGCGCGGGCGCGGGCGCGGGGGCGGGGGCGTACCTCGTGGCGGAGAGAAGGAGAGGCTGGAGAGGGAGAAGGCGGCGGTGACGGCGGCGGCGGCGGCGCCGGCGGCGAGGAGAGGAGAGGAGAGGGGGAGGTTGTGGTTTTTTGGTTGGTGGGGGTGCGCCTGCGGTTTGGGGGAAGCGAAGCGAAATGGGGGAACCCGGCCGGTGGAGTCCTTATCTATCCCGCAACCCATCTTGGGCTTGGGCCTGGAATTCCAGCCCACTGGGCCGTGGGCCTCCCTTCCTTCCTTTTTCTTTTTTTTATATATGTAATATTTATTATCTCACAAAAATATTTTTCATAGTATTAATGACCAAATTACCACAAAATTACATATTTAACTCGGCGTATCACAAATGACACATTTCACACCAAATTTATCACGGAAATTACACGTTTAAGATGAAGTATCACAAAACTATATGTTTATTAACTAAAGTATCACAAAACTATAAGTTTAGAACCAATTTAGTCACAAAAGCAATAATGCTTATAGCTCCAACATAACAATGGTGCTAGGGATCTAAACTCTAAAAGTTGTAGTTTTGTGATAACTTAAATATTAAACATGTATTTTTGTGATACTTGACCTTTACTAGTTTCATGATAAATTTTGTGCTAAATCTGTAGTTTTGTGATACAACGCATTAAATCTATGGTTTTATGATAATTTGGTCAAAATACCTATAGTTTTGTGAAATGTACTCACAGGGAAATAATAAGAGGGAGAAGTGCCAAACTGAGGATCTCCAAACGCTGCTGCACAGGCTGCAATTGCTGTATGTATATCCTATTCTTCATCATTTTAATCTCAAGAATAGCAATATTTATATACCGAATTGTCCCATGATCTCAACAACCTACCACAAGGACAAGGATCACAACTCACAAAAGTGGTAGCCATGATTTCAGTTTGATCTCATCAACAGGAGACACTGAGACAGTAGCAGCTGTTGGGGGAAAAAACGAAAAGGAAATAGTGAGTGACAGCGTGATACAAATATGGACTCGCTGGTCGTACCGAGGGTCGTAAGTCACTAGAGTATGAAGTAGCAGCTCAGAGGGGGCAAAAGGTACAAGATCTTCATCTTCACATTCTGAGCAAAAGGTACACGGTATCCTTTCTGCGACAAAAAACCTAGGAAGAAACTCAATCAACATCTTGGAGCTGACCCTGAACGACGCAGGGCGCTCCTCTCTTACCACCGGCCTTATCTTGCATGCATGGGGCATCCAAATCATAGTAGGAGTACCTTTTTTTTAAATTCATGTCCTGAACTGAACATGAAGGCAGAACGTCAATGAGAGATGTTGAGCAGATACTAACTGCTAAGGGCCGGGGAATGCAGTTCGTTTTCGCCTGAACATTACTACCAGCAGCCCATTTCAGTTGCATTGAACTCTTCAAATTAAATAGCCTCATCAGGGGATTTACCATAGAACAAAGGCATGCTCAGATCAGCGATCGTCGGAGCTTAGACGTGTATCTGGTGACAGTGGAGAGGTGGCGGCGAACGTCGAGAGGGGAGGCACCCCACCGAGAAGAGCGTAGCGACGGCGAGGACAGCCATGGCGAATCGACAAGCTTTACGTCTTGTGTGGAAGAAAGCGGAAAACTATCCAGTCGTTTTCTTTTCCTTTTCTTTATTTTATTTTTTATTAAATACTGTAAAAAATAATAACAATATAATAATAATATAATAGTACTGCCAAGAAGCGGAGCGAGGGCACGGGAACGGGAGACGGGTGGGAGGGATTCGTATGGCGTCGCCGGAGGAGAGCGCAATGGCGGAGCTGTTGAGGGTCGCCGATTTCTCACCGGCGATTGCCTGGTCCGGTCGATGATGCGCGCTGTGTTTGGCAGGAGACGGTGGAGGAGGAGGAGGTGCTGCGGCGGCTCGGCACGGGGGAGAAAGGAGGCGGCGCGACGCCTCCGCCTGCACGGGCCCAACCCCAACGTCGTCATCCTCTCCCACCACCAAGTGCCTCCCTCCCCCTGTTGATAACTGATTCAGTGCTCCGGTATCTGCTAGGAAGGAGTAGTTGTTTCACTCTATCCACATTGTTGAATACTCTCAATGAATGAATATTGTTGGCGCAGGCCGCTCTTGTGCGGATTGTTGTCTTGGCATTTTTGTTTTATTTTATAAATTTTGGAATCAAATTGGTCGCGCTGCTCTTTTTGTTTCTGCATTCTGGATTATCTGAATGGAGTCTCTACACTGTACACCACACTTCAGCATTATTCAGTAACTGCGCGCGCGCGCGCACGCGCGCGCACACACACACACATACATACATACATACATACATACATACATACATACATACATACATATATATATATATATATATATATATATATATATATATATATATAAACACACAAAGCTGCCTCCAATGCAAAAGGGACAGTGTCATTTCCCTGCTACAAATGTCCTAATTTCCCTTTGGTGTGATTTTTGTTGAAAACACTTGTGTCGCAACAGTGGATTCATCAAAATGTCTGCGATGCCTGTTAACTCTACTTAATTTCTTTTCTATAAAAGCAGGTGTCCCTCTATAAACACACACACGCTACTTGGCTTGCTCTTGTAAATGCAACTGCTTGTTCTCTCCTGTGTAAAATGACAATTGGCAAATAGCAATTACTCATGCTTCTTGACAACTTGGGGTAGTACCACCGTAGAACTAGAAAATAAACTACACTGAGGATTAGCCTCATGTGAAAATATCTTACAATTATTGCTGCAGCTCAAAGAGTGTCTGAGAGATTCCCTCTTGGATAGTACTACTACAGGGCTCATGCCTCCCCCCTCATTGTGTTCAAAGCAACGGTTTTCTATTATTTCTTCTGGACATGAGACACAGATATGAGCAATATGAGCACAGATTTGGATTTTACTAGTGCTAGTTTTTTTTTAATATGTGACGCCGTTCACTTTAGCGTGACATTTGACTGTTCATCTTATTCAAAAAAAAAATATATATATGTCATATATTTTGTTGTGACTTGTTTTATCATCAGAGAAACTCTAACCTTAACTTATATTTTGACATATTTGCACTAAATTTTTGAATAAAACGAATGGTCAAACGTTATGTGAAAAGTCAATGCTGTCATACATGAAAAAACAGAGGTAGTACTAGTTTTTTTAATGTACTGTTCATTTATTAAAATAATTCTTCCCAATGTGTGAGTTTCAATGTTCACCTGTTTTAATTTTTACAGTTGGTTTCTAGTAAAAAAAAATTACACTATCTTGATTATCTAGGTCCCATATACCGATTACTTTTCTAACTAAAATTGATCTGTGTAAGATCATTTTATTTAAATAAAATAGCTTCATAAGGTCAAATTTATGGTTGCTGCAGGAGGACAGCATGCTTCGAAAATTCCTGATGAAGCTCTTCTCACTCTGGGAATGGAACAATATCTTCCCCAAGTACAGGAACATGATCTGTGTCATACTTAACTCCATGTCATGGGTTACAGTATCATCTACAGTTGTGTCCCTCACCATTGCTTCAGCTGGCCAGAGATCTTCCATGATGTCCATCGCTATATATTTACTAGCTACAAGCTTGACAGCATGCTTGACTGTGAAACTTGTTGTGGAGTATGCTAAGGCTCCATTGGAGGCAAAAGCATATGCACCAAGGGCGAAGGTTCTGAGGGATGGGATGTGGATAAATGTGCATGCAGTGAATCTGGTACCTGGGGATATCATATTTCTCAAAGTTGGGGACATTGTCCCTGCCAATGCCCGTGTCCTCCGGTTTGAAAAAATCAACACAATGACTTGCTGGGCCAAAAGGTCTGTTGATTGTGTACACGGCTTCCTCATATACTATGCTTGGACCGTGTCCTGTGGCCAAGGGACTGCTGTTGTTATTGCGACTGGTCGTGATATTCCTCGAAGCACACTTCGGCTCTACCCGCAACGTTACACTCGGCCTGGGCAACTTAAAGAGGGAATCATGCTTGTTGGCTGCTTCTGCTTTTCTCTTGTGCTATTTGGTACCATTGCGGAGGTAATCTTAAGATTGTTGTTCCAGAAACACAGCTCTGGAGCTATGCTGCAGGGTGGCTGTTTTATGGCATTAATTGGGGTGGTTCCAATGGCAATGCCTGTTGTCCTCTACCTTGCATTGGCATTTGGATCTCTAAGGCTTTGTTTGCTGGGGGTTGCTAGTAGAGGGACAGTTGCCCTTGAAGATCTGGCAAGCATGGATGTCATGCTTTTTAACATGACGGGCACCATAAAATGTAATAAACCCTCTTTTGCCAGGGACAAGATTGAGTTGTTTGCGAAAGGTGTTAATGAAGATCAGGCTATTGTGTTAGCTTCACGGGCATCAAGATCCCAACATGAATTGTACATTGAACCAATTGATCCAGCTATTCTGAGCCTCTTGGATGATCCAGAACAGGTTCCCTTTATCTTACTATGTTGCCTTTTAATCCCTCTCTTTGTGTATGCGTGTGTGTTATAAATTAACTTAACAAGCATATCATATCTATAGGCAAGGGCTGGTGTTCAGGTCATAGAGCACCATGCCCATTTCTTTGTTTCACTAAAGTTGATGTTCCTGGCTACATATATTGATGAAAATGGTTCTAAGTGCTGTGTATTCAAAGGTGATCCTGCAAATGCAAGTCACTTATACAATATTCACACAACAGAGAAGCGTGTGAGTCCTGTCATTGTGGCTAATGGGACAATTGCATGTGTTGTGTTAGTACAGGCATGTTCGTTAGTAGTCTTCTGTTTTTATGCTATAGGTTGCTCATCAGTGCGGCTGTAGCAAAGCAGTCAAAGAGAGAATTAGTATGATAATGGATAACCTTGCTGTTGATGGGTATCAGGCCATAGCTGTAGGACATCAGGTAGGCAATTTGACTCTGTATTAACACCTTGAAACTTGCAAACTTATAATGTATGCCACAATTTACATTTAATTTCTGTTATTTTCCTCCAGTCAGACTCATGTTGGGAATTTGCTGGCCTACTACCTTTCAAAGAGGACCTTAGACATGATAGCGCAGATGCTCTCAATGGCCTTATCAGTCTGGGTTTTGTGAAACCATGTGTGGTTATAGTTCTTTTGTGATGGGAAATTGACAAGTACCGGATGTGCAAGAAGTGTGTGTGTGGACTAACGTTGGTCAGGTTGCGACATCTGTGCCAAGACAACGGTTGTTTGGTTCATGTGTGTGCAGGTGATCGGGGTCGATCTTGGTCAACGGCGGATCGGGACTAGACTCAGGGAGGAGTTGAGGTCCAAAGCGATCAAGGATGCCGGGTGACAAGATTGGACACAAGGTTGCACACGGTGGACGAACACCGTGTGAAAAGGTCTTTGCAACAGGCTTCACAAGGCCAAGTGTGCAAGCATCGGATTCGCGAAGAAATCAGAAGGGACTGTGCAAGTGCATTGCTGCTACAGTACTTGCTGTAGGTAGCATACATGCATGTACACGTACTGTACTTGTGCAAGGAGGAGCTTGCACTGTACTGGTTGCTACTAGCATGGCTCGGTGGAAAAGTCAAGCTAGCTAGCTGTGCATGTGCGCTGTGATTGGTTGGCAGGGAGGCCAAGCCAATCCAGCCGTTCCACGTGGCCCAAGATGGTGAATGGCTCGGCTCGGCAGGCCTGCATCGTCCAAGCAGCGACGGCCCAAGACGGCGGCCCATGGCGCATGGGCTCAGGAGGTGCAGGCAGCTTGCATGCGCAAGGACGCGCGCGGAAAAACCGTACGCGGCAACCCCCGTTTCGCGTGACTCGATCGGAGGCGGGTGCAGGAGCGCGGGACCCACACGCGATTTTGCAAGCGCGCGCGGGAGCGGCTCAGCGGGACGCGTGGCGGCTTCGGGCTGGTTGGGCGCTGGCGAGCGCGCGCTGAGGAAAAGGAGACGGAACGCGCACGACGCGGCTGGGCAACGTGGCAAGTTTGGATTCGTCAAGACGGAGAGCACGCGGATTCATCAGCAAGAAGACCATGTGAGGGTTCGGATCGATGAGGTGGCAATCATCTGGAGCTTTTCCTTTGAGTAGAAGGAACAATGGATGGACCAGATCTGTTCTGAGTTAGGGTTTCGCCCTAGGGGTATTTGAGACAATGTCTTAGGGGTCTTAGGCTATAAATAGAGAGATGGATGCAAGGGTGGAGGTTGCTCCTTTTGGTAATCATTTTGAGATGCTCGGTGAGAGAGTTTTCGTGTGAGTTTGGAGTGTGTTTGCCCGAGAGGCTTTTGTATTAGGATTAGTTTGGAGTGTGTTTGTCCGAGAGATTTTAAGTTTGTGTTAATGTTCCTCTGAAGGTGTATGTTTGCTCCTAGTTGAGCGGTTATTTTGCATCACCTATAAATGAAATGATTTGAAGGATTTCATTTTTGCCTTGTCCATTTAAATTCCGCAATTTAAATTCCGCTTGCAATTTGAACTTTGCGATGATGAGTTTTGCTCTCTCTTTCTCACCTCACTTCTAGTTTCGGGAATTCCTTTTCTCTTCCTCCTCTAGTTTCGGGAATTCCTTTTCTCTTCTTTTTCTCTCTTCTTTTCTAGATCCGGCTTCTCTAATAGCCGCGATTCTAGTAAGGATTTTGAGAAATCCGGCTTGATGAGTATTTTCGGGGGCAAGATTTGAATTGCTATATTCACCCCCCCCCTCTATAGCTGTTCTTGGTCTTTCAATTGGTATCAGAGCCCGGTTAAGTTCGTTGTAACCTAACCGTGGCAACGAACGCAGCTATGGAGGAAAAATACTCTGCGAAACCATTTGTTTTCGATGGACACAATTTTGTCATTTGGAAGGCACGAATGGAGGCCTACCTCCAGTCGCAAGGGCATAATGTGTGGAATAAGGTTAAATCTCCTTATACTGTGCCCGATGATGCTGACATCACGCCTGCAAATATGGCTCAGGTTGATTTTAATTATCGTGCAAGAAATGCAATCATTGGTGGAATTTCTTCTGGTGAATTTAATCGTGTTCAACACCACAAGTCCGCTCATGACATGTGGACTGCTCTATGCAATTTCCATGAGGGAAACAATGATATTCAATTGGTTCGTCAGAATCAATTTCATAAAGAATATCAAAGATTTGAGATGCACCCAGGAGAGTCCATTGATTCTTATTTCAAACGTTTTGGAGAAATTATTTCGAAGTTGAGATCTGTTGGAAAAGAATTTTCTGATAATGATAATGCTCGCCATCTTTTGAATTGTCTTGATTATGGTGTTTGGGAAATGAAAGTTACTTCCATCACAGAGAGTGCACCTCTGAGTGACCTTACCATGGACAAGCTTTACTCAAAGCTAAAAACCCATGAGATGGATGTTTTCCATCGGAAAGGCCTCAAACACTCGATGGCTTTGGTAGCTGATCCCTCTGGTAGTACTTCTTCTAATGACTCAGCCTTTGTGTATGGTGGCTTCTCTCTTGCCGCTTTACACTCAGTCACTGAGGAGCAATTAGAGAAGATCCCTGAAGATGATCTTGCTCTTTTTGCTAGAAAATTCTCAAGAGCTTACAAAAATGTGAGAGATAGAAAAAGAGGAAAAACCAATGAACCATTTGTGTGTTTTGAGTGTGGAGAGCCTAACCACAAAAGAGTGAATTGTCCCAAGTTGAAGAAGAAGAGTGACAAGACGACCAAGAAGCCCGAGGGACAAGGGCGAAAGGGGAAGAAGGATTTGATGAAGAAGGCGATCCACAAGGTCTTGGCGGCTCTTGAGGAGGTGCAGCTTAGCGACATCGACTCCGACGACGATGATCAAGAAAAGGGGGACAAGGACTTCTCCGGGATGTGCTGTCTCGCCAACAACGAGGACTTCATCAACCTGTGTCTCATGGCGCTTGAGGATAAGGATGACTCATCGGAGCATCCTGAGGTATGTCTTGATGATATCCCTTCCTTGGATGGTTCTCTTTGTGATGATTCTTGCTCAGATAATGACTCTGTTGATGATGAACTAAGCAAAGAAAGAATGGCACACTTGATGATTGAAATTAGTGATAAGTATAGGTCTTCTAAGTATAAAATTGAGAAACTAAAATCTGAAAATGATGGAATGGCGCTAGAAATTGCTAGGCTTCGATCCATGATTCCTGAGGAGGATACCTGTTCTACTTGTGCTTCATATCTTTCTGAAATTAATCTCCTCAAGGATAAGTTGAAATCATGTGCTTTAGGAGCTGGGAATCCTTCTAGTGCTAGTGCTGCTTGCTCTACTTGCTATGAAATGAAAGTTGATATGGGTTTGCTTGAGATGGAATTGAAAGAACTAAAAGAAAAATTTGTTCATGATAGGATTGGTAGGTGTGAAAATTGTCCCATTCTCACTAGTGACAATGATGAATTAAGACAACAAGTTGCCATGCTTAGGACCAAGAATGATTTGTTAGAATCTTTTGCTACTAAGGAACCTATTCATTCTTCATGTGCTAATTGTGCTATCCTGGAAACTGAACTAAAAGATGCTAAAACTGTCATTGATTCTATCAAATCTATTGATTCTTGTTCTTCATGCATTTCTCTGAAAGTTGATCTTGAGTCTGCTAAGAAAGAGAACTCATACCTACAACAATCTTTAGAGAGGTTTGCTCAAGGAAAGAAAAAGTTGAACATGATCCTAGACCAATCCAAAGTGTCCATAAACAATCAAGGTATAGGCTATGATTTTGCTGAGTCTTTGAGGATAGGTACCCATGAGATTTTAGGTGTCACAGATGGGATGATAGAACTAGCTCAAAAACCTATAACCTTCAAGTCTGCAGGTTTCATTGGAAACACTAGTTCTAGTACACCCAAAACCTCAGAACCAAAGATGGTACCTATGACTAGCAAGTCTAAGCCTGTAGAGTTACCTAGACCCAAAAATCCAAAACAAGTTGAGCACAAGCAAAACCAGAGACAAACCAAGCCTGTAGAGAAAACCAAGTATGAGTGCACCTATTGTGGGAAAGCTGGTCATTTGGTAGGTTTCTGCTTTAGAAAGGCTAGAAAAGAGCGACAAGAACGTCTTAGGACTAGAAGAGCTACTAGAGTCCCTGAGAGGTTCGAGTGTGCGTGTCATTGTCGTTCAAGTGGTGTATCTCGCTTTCCTCGCCGAGATGTGCACCCTCGACGTGACCTAGCAGGGTTGGGGCAAAACAGACATGGTCATCTTGCATATAATTCTGCTCATAACACTAAAGATGCTTGTACTTCTCGCATGATTCAGTACTGGATTCCTAAGTCATTTTTCACTAACCCCAGTACTGAATCATCGAGATCTGCTGTGTCTTTCTTGTAGGATTTTGGAGTAGGGAGAAGTAATTCTTGGCTTGTGGACTCCGGTTGCTCACGCCACATGACCGGTGAAGCCAAGTGGTTTACTTCTCTCACTCGTGCATCCAGTGATGAGACCATCACTTTTGGGGATGCGAGCAGTGGACGCGTGATGGCTAAAGGAACAATCAAGGTCAATGACAAATTCATGCTGAAAGATGTGGCACTAGTAAGTAAGCTTAAGTACAATTTGCTCTCTGTTTCACAACTCTGTGATGAAAATCTGGAAGTTCGTTTCAAAAAGGACAGGTCTCGAGTTCTTGATGCTTCTGAATCTCCTGTTTTTGACATTTCTCGAGTTGGTCGAGTTTTCTTTGCTAACTTCGACTCTTCTGCTCCTGGTCCTTCTCGTTGTCTCATTGCCTCAGAGAATAGGGATTTGTTTTTCTGGCATCGACGTCTTGGTCATATTGGCTTTGACCACTTGTCTCGCATTAGTGGTATGGATTTGATTCGGGGTTTGCCTAAGTTGAAAGTTCCGAAAGATCTTGTGTGTGCACCATGTCGTCATGGGAAAATGACATCTTCTTCCCACAAGCCTGTTACAATGGTTATGACAGATGGACCGGGACAACTGCTTCACATGGATACGGTTGGTCCTGCTCGGGTCCAGTCAGTTGGGGGGAAGTGGTATGTCTTGGTTGTTGTGGATGATTTCTCTCGCTACTCTTGGGTCTATTTTCTTGAATCAAAGGAGGAAACATTTGGCTTCTTTCAGTCTCTTGCTCGTAGTTTGGCTTTGGAGTTTCCTGGTGCTCTTCGAGCCATTCGCAGTGATAATGGCTCTGAATTCAAAAATTCTGCATTTGAATCTTTCTGTGATTCTTCTGGAGTCGAACACCAGTTTTCTTCGCCATATGTCCCACAACAGAATGGGGTGGTTGAGAGGAAGAACCGCACCCTTGTGGAGATGGCACGAACTATGCTTGATGAGTTTACGACTCCAAGAAAATTCTGGACTGAAGCTATT